GGAAGAGTGGAATTTGGGGTTATTTTTTGAGTTGTATATTCCTACTTTGTGTGTGTGTGTCAAGTGCCTCTTTTCCCTTTAGGGCAGGAGTCGCCGCACAGCTTCTAGGTTCCTGTGTGATCGTTCGTACAGATGTACATTTGTAGTAGGAATCTAGGAACATTTTACAGCATTAGATTTGCACAGACTAAGCAGTACTTCCATTCTGTTTGGGGTAGATGACAGCACCTGGGAAGAACCACCTGTCTGTTCTCTCCAGGGGCTTGCCTGGCTGTCACATTTCTCCTGGGATTTATAGTATTTGAAGATTCATTTTGATGCTCTTTATGAATAATTAGTGTTTTTCCCCCTTTTAAGGTGCTTTAAGATCTTGGCGCCTGTTCCAGTCTGAGACCATAGTAAGAACGAAAGGGCAATGTCGCGGCCAGCAGTTCTTAGGTGCTAGAGAAGTTAGGCCATTTAATTGTGAGGTCAATTAATTTTTATTCTTAGTTCAAAATGATAATTTTTTTCACTGAATTTTAAGTATCAGCTGTGACAGTATAGGTTGCTCTTTCCTGTGGAAATGAAATATATTTTCAGTTTTTTTTCTTTTTATAAAGAATGTCTTGTTGCGCCGTTTTGCTAGCTGAACATTTCCTCGTCGTGTGGTGAGCGCTTCCTCTAATTCAACCTTTGTCTTTTGTCTTTGCTGCCTTGCAGGGCTGGCACAGTAGGCTTCACTAGACTTAGCTGCAACTCAGAATTCTCCTCCCGCACCTGGGCAAATGCTGACGGTCTGTGAGAGTGGATTAAGAGTACGCGCTAAGTTCTCAATCCCAATTAAGAAGCGGAGGAAAATTTAAACTGTCTCCTTCCGAGTTTATCACACCACCACCATCAAGACAGCAAACCAAAGGACAAAGACTGCCTGCTCTGTGGCTCTAGTCCAGCTCCCGTACGGCTACAGCCCTGGCTGGGTTACTAATGCGTAAATAACAAGTCGGACACTTGCGTTGTTGGACACCGTTATTCACAGAGTGACCAACATGCGGGCTGTGCTGGAGACGGCAGACATTGCCGTAGTGGCCCTCTACTTTGTCCTGGTCCTGGGCATTGGCTTCTTTGCCATGTGGAAGTCTAACAGGAGCACCGTGAGCGGATACTTCCTGGCCGGGCGCTCGATGACCTGGGTAGCGATTGGGGCCTCTCTGTTTGTGAGCAACATTGGGAGTGAGCACTTCATTGGGCTGGCGGGATCTGGAGCGGCCAGTGGATTTGCAGTCGGTGCGTGGGAGTTCAATGCCTTACTGCTGCTGCAGCTTCTGGGATGGGTTTTCGTCCCGATTTACATCCGGTCGGGGGTGTACACCATGCCTGAGTACTTGTCCAAGCGCTTTGGTGGCCATAGGATTCAGGTCTATTTTGCAGCCTTGTCTCTGATTCTCTATATCTTCACCAAGCTCTCAGTGGATCTGTATTCAGGCGCCCTCTTTATCCAAGAGTCTTTGGGTTGGAACCTTTATGTGTCTGTCATCCTGCTCATTGGCATGACTGCCTTGCTGACTGTCACCGGAGGTCTTGTTGCGGTGATCTACACAGACACTCTCCAGGCGCTGCTCATGATCGTGGGGGCCCTCACGCTTATGGTTTTTAGCATGATGGAGGTTGGCGGGTTTGAGGAAGTTAAGAGGAGGTACATGTTGGCCTCACCCAATGTCACTTCCATCTTGTTGACATACAACCTTTCCAACACCAATTCTTGTAAAGTCCACCCTAAGAAAAATGCACTGAAAATGTTGCGGAGTGCGACAGATGAAGATGTGCCTTGGCCTGGATTTCTTCTCGGGCAGACCCCAGCCTCCGTGTGGTACTGGTGCGCCGACCAGGTCATCGTGCAGCGGGTACTGGCAGCTAAAAACATTTCACACGCCAAAGGCTCCACTCTGATGGCTGGCTTCTTGAAGCTTCTGCCCATGTTCATCATTGTGGTCCCGGGCATGATCTCCAGGATACTGTTCGCGGATGACATAGCTTGCATCAACCCAGAGCACTGCATGCAGGTGTGCGGCAGCAGAGCCGGCTGCTCTAACATCGCGTACCCGCGCCTGGTCATGAAGCTGGTCCCCGTGGGCCTCCGGGGCCTGATGATGGCGGTGATGATCGCGGCTCTGATGAGTGACTTGGACTCGATCTTTAACAGCGCCAGCACCATATTCACCCTGGATGTGTACAAACTTATCCGCAAGAATGCCAGCTCCCGGGAACTCATGATCGTGGGGAGGGTATTTGTGGCTTTCATGGTGGTGATCAGCATCGCGTGGGTGCCAATCATCGTGGAGATGCAAGGAGGCCAGATGTACCTTTACATTCAGGAGGTGGCAGATTACCTGACGCCCCCCGTGGCGGCCCTGTTCCTTCTGGCAATTTTCTGGAAGCGCTGCAATGAGCAAGGGGCTTTCTATGGTGGAGTGGCTGGCTTTGTTCTCGGAGCAGTGCGCTTAATACTAGCCTTCACCTACCGGGTCCCGGAATGTGACCAGCCCGATAACAGGCCTGGCTTCATCAAAGACATTCATTACATGTACGTGGCCACCGCGTTGTTTTGGGTCACTGGACTCATTACTGTAATTGTTAGCCTCCTCACGGCACCACCCACGAAGGAACAAATCCGTACCACCACCTTTTGGTCTAAGAAGAGCGTGGTGGTGGAGGAGAGCTGCTCCCCGAAAGATGAACCATACAAAATGCAGGAGAAGAGCATCCTAAGATGCAGTGAGAACAGTGAGCCCATCAACCATATTATTCCCAATGGGAAGTCTGAAGACAGCATTAAGGGCCTTCAGCCTGAAGATGTTAACCTCTTGGGGACCTGCAGGGAGGAGGGCAACCCCGCAGCTTCCTTAGGTCATTCAGAGGCAGAAACACCAGTAGACGCTTATTCCAATGGGCAGGCAGCACTTATGGGTGAAAAAGAGAGAAAGAAAGAAGCAGAGGATGGAGGCCGCTGCTGCAAGTTAATAGATTGGTTCTGTGGCTTTAAAAGTAAGAGCCTCAGCAAGAGGAGTCTCAGAGACCTGATGGAGGAGGAGGCGGTCTGTTTACAGATGCTGGAAGAGCCTCCACATATTAAACTAATACTGGATATTGGACTTTTTGCTGTGTGTTCACTTGGAATTTTCATGTTTGTTTATTTTTCCTTATGAACTTTTAAGGATATGGTGAGACAGTAACTTAAGAAAATACTGGTCTTTGGAAAAAAAACCTTACATAACTGTTGCATCTTTCAGGCATTGTTTACGCTGTAGGTTTTAGCCAAATTTTACTCAGCAGAACATCATCTATTTGCAAGACTTTATTTTCCCAGAGACGGCTGAAAGTAAACTTTCAACGTAAATGAAGCAAAGCTTGTTTAATAGACTGAATTGTGCAAATATGGTTTAAAATTTTTCATACCAAAGTAAGACCAATTATTCTCACAGAACACATAGAGCAGATATAAGCTGTCACGAGAAAGTGAACTGTCTGCACTGCCAGGTCCTGGTAGATTTTAGCCTGAAGTAGAAGACTTGCTCATTTCAGAGTTTTTTCCTGTCTCTAATCCCTCCTACTATTAAAAAAAAAATTTGCACTTGTAGAGATTGTATAATCAGTTCTGTACTGAAAATCTAACTTACGTGCTAGTGAGGTTCTTGTTCCAGGACAAGTTAGTTAGTGGCCGGGTTCATTTGGTTAGCATGAGCCTGTGGATTCTGATTGCCAAAAGAGAGGAAGACCATCTTTCTGTAGCTGTTCTTGTTCCACCACTGTATGCCGTGCTGGGGGAAGGTTTGTTCAGTTCCTTTTTTCCCCACTTTGACTTTTAGTGACCCATGCTCAAATGACCACCAAGCCTGTCTGTGTGAAGTTCTAGGCCATCACTGTATTTTTAAGTGGTTATGGGGGGAGATGAAGTAAACGTTGCTGATGACCTCCACACTCATTGGCCCAATTCAGGCTGTTCATGTTGTTTGGGAGTTTTGCAGCCCCTAAGCCGCGTCGGACCAGCTTCCGCTGAGCACGCTATTGCTTGCACTCCACGAACTCCCTAGGCACGTGCTCGGCGTTTGGTGACGCTCTTGCGTAGCCGGATGGCTTCCCAAGTAGATCCAGTTGGAAGATATGTTCAGAAATTGAAGAAAAATTGACACTGCCTTAGTGCTGGGTTGCCCTGCTTGATCAGATCATGCTATATGGAGGTTGTTTAGGCTTTAGAGGAAGAATTTAGTTCTGAGAGTATATTTATTCTTGATCAGTGTTTTTCTTGATACACCTTTTCAAAAGACTTAGCGTCCGTACCCGGCCTATTTATTTTTGCTTGAAAAGTTAAGTGACTTAGAGCATGAAGATGTTTGAATGCAAACGGGCACTCAGTGCATGTTTTGCCATGGGTAGATTGTCAGTATCGTCCTTACAGAATGGACAGCATGTGTGAGAGGTGCTGTGAGCAGGAGCTCCTGGTTTAGTAGCATGCCTCCCGGAGGGTTACAGGACCTGTGTGACCATAGGACCCTTTATCTTGACATGGCTTGGTTCACAGTTGCAACCTCCATAGCTGGGATTCGGAGTTCACAGGCTGATGCCCCCTCACGAGGGCAAGGTGCACAGAAGGTGGTAGAGGGAAGCTCCGCAGATTCTGGAGTTCGGTGTCTATGCAGCACCGTCCCCTCCCAAACTCCACGACAGATGAAGGACACTGCCTGTGTATCTACTTTCTTTGACTTTTCTGTACTCTGATACTTTTTAAATCGCATGATTTTATTAAGCTTATATTCAGGCAAAATTATTACTTTTTTAGGTACTTTTGTAGGTTTTGAATCAAAACTCAGTCCTAGTGACATTAACTATTTTGTATCCTATAAATCAGCTTCATTAATGATGGACTTGATTAGTCCAAAGTTGATTTAGAAATGATCGGGGAGCTTAATGTCTTCCCACCAGCAGGAGGCTTTCTGATGGACTGGGGCTGTAGCTGAGAAAACACTTCTTATGTGAATAGCATGGTTGTTGAGAGCTTACAGTGCCTTGTAGAATTTTTTCTCAATTTCACTCTTAAGGTTTATAAGTTGGGGGCCAAATAAATAGGGACCATCCTTTTCTTGTCTGGAGGCTGAGGCTGTGACACGTCCAAGGTTATTACAAACTCCACTGGGAAGAACAGACAACCAGGTATCCACTCTGGACTCATGGTTTGTTCATGGTTCGTCCTTTTCTCAAAGAATGTTCCTCCTCTGAGATAACCTTCCGCATTTGGGAAATAGCAGGCTCTCCAATTTTTCAAAATGCCATTCAGTTGGAGGAATTAGCATTTTCTTTGATGACATTGCTGGTTGGTTACTCAGCAGTGAGGATCGCCATACTGGCTGGGCAGCCTTCTTACCCTTTGTACTTACAGCACAAATGAGTAGGTGGTGTTTATGTAGACTCCCCCTTTATTTTATGTTGTGTCCTCACTTATGGAGTATTAGGGTCCCCCTGCCTTCTCTGCTGTTGTCTTAGTTTAATAGTGAAATGCATCATCTTGTGTCTGTTCGTGTGTGTATATAGCAATAGGTCAAGTTTAGAGTACTAAAGCCTGTAAATAAGGAATGACTATTAGCATATGCATTAGGCTGTTTATTCTTTGCCGTGTAAACATCACTTTGTTTAGACTGAAGTCCCTGAAGCTTGTCCTCATTGCTTCCCAGCAGTAGATAACATGCTTGAAAGGATGTGGATTGCTGAGGGCAGCGCCATTTCAGGGGTTCATTTTTCAGTCTAAGGTCATTAGAATGATTGTTCATGGAATGATACGTGGTCTGTCTTAAGCTAGCAAAAATGTTCATTCTTCACACTAATGAAATGAGTCCTAATGGTATTGATCTCTCTGTATAGACATGTATATATTTTTATATTGGTTCAAGCTAAGGTTCAGAATTGACCAAGAGGAATAGTGACTAAAATAGCTGAGAGTCAAAATGAGGTGAGGACACTGGTCTTCACAGGGGAGAAGGTCCAGTCTGACCTGCGGTGAATGGCAGCCCCAGTCCTTAGATTTGTCATTTGGGCCTCTTCGTCTCAGGGTCTGATGAGAGAGCGTATCACTTTGGTTGGCAGAATAATTCGTGGCTCTGTTGTGGGACCTCTGATTCCTCTGTTCATCTAAGAGCGTTTTGTCCTGCCACCTAAGAGAGCCAGCAGCTTTTGAAACACCTGAGCCCATTTCTGGCTCTTCTTTCCTGTGAGGTTGTCCCGCCCTCTCTAAGTTAGAGAGGCACCCAGTGGAGCAGTGGGCTGTGTCCTGGGCCAGATCCCACAGGTCCGACCTCCCAGCACTTCCTGTTCACTGGCTGTGAGAGGGTCACAGTAGCCATAGCTTTTAGAGATGGAACCTCCCGTAATGAGCAGGGACGTGCCACTTTGTGAAATCCACATTTTGAGGGCTGAGTGGAAAGCTTAACAGCGCTCTAACCTGAGGCTGAGTGGGGAGGGGAAGCTGAGTGTGTCCTGGGCTGTGGGTGTCAAGTCTGCCTGTTTTCAGGCATTCCAGTGCCCTCTCCCTATTCTGGGCG